CTCTGGGGCTCTTCTGGACAGTGGCTGAGAATCTCTATACAGCCCTGAATTTGTAATTTCTAATATTAATGCTGATAACAAAGTGAAGTGCTCACACCAGGCTGGACTTTAGAGAAACAAGCCAGGCCTGGGCTGCCTTCTCTGGGTCGCTTTGTGCAGGGAGGGACCCAGTGACAGTGGCCATGCCCTGAGTGAGGACCTGGTGTAAAAGCTGCTCGTAGTTGTGACAGCAGACAAGCAGTGCTGCTACAGCTTGTCCCGAGGTGCCACAGCAGTTTCAGGGGTGTAAACACACCCCCAGCCTGTGTGCAGTGTAGGTGATGGTGGTGTTAGATCTCACTACTGCCCTACATTTGCAGACCGTGTCCTAGTCTGGATTAGCCAGAATGTAATGGTTATGTTGTCTAATGGTTTTTCTCTTGGGTGTCATTCTGCTGCAGAAGGTTCAGGTCCTGTTTGTGAGCCTCTCTTTGGGGCTGAGAGGGATTTTGGCAGAAAGGGGACTGGCCTGGCAGAGCAAGAAGGGCTGCAAAGGAGAGGAGCTCGTCTTGGCACCTACATAAAGATCTCAGACAGTGCGAGGGGTGTTGGAATTAAAGCTTTGCATCACCAGAGTTTTGAGGAGTTGGTTTTAATCTTTTCATTTCCTTGCTCCTTGGTATTGTTTCTCTCCCCTGTCTTTCTGATCCCTCTGTTCCAAAGCAGAGACTGTCTTGGCATCAGTGTGCATCTTCCAGTCATTTCTGGGAGCTTTGGGTTAAGGCTTTTATGAGGAATTTGGAGCTCAGGTGTGCATTACCAGCACATTTTCCTGAATTGAGCTCACTCCTCTGCGTGTGTGACTTGGGTCAAGTTTGACAGGAGCTGCAGCCCTGGAAGCAGGATGGATACAGGAATCCTCTCGTTCCAAGCTGCTTGAGCACACCTCTGTGAACCAGGAAAGCTGCAGAGAAACAAGAGATTTCTGCATTAGGAGGCAAGGAGGGGACCAGGACACAGTGCAATTGTGGAGGATAAAAATGAACCTTCTGGGTTAAAAATACTTCTTGGGTTCACTTTGTTTTTTTTTTTTTTCCTCCTTCTTTCTAGGTTTGAATTTTTTTCTTCTTCCTCTGCTGCAGTTATCCTTTTCCCTGCAGCTCCCAGGGCAGGTTCCTGCTCCGTTCCTCCAGGGCAGAGGGGGAACTCCTGTAATTCCAAGCTGCAGAGGTAAACATTTGCTACCCTGCCCTGGAGACTCGAGCTACTACTGGTGATTAAACACAGGGAGCAGCTCCCCACTAGTGTAAATAATTGCAGAATAATCATTGCCCCTTCCCTCATCCCAGAGGAAGTGGAATTTCAGCAAAGTAGCATTTAAGTTCTTCCTAAATTTGCTGCTCCTGTTGGTCTCTGAGAGTTCCTAAAACACTCCAAGAACCTATCTTCTTGTCTTCTTAGGGAAGAAAACTTTAATTTCCAGCAGCTTCCATCCTGTTTGACAGCAAGTTCAGCTCAGCCTGGGGACTTTGATCTGCATTGTTCTGGCCAGTATTGTCCTATTTGTTTAGAATTGCATTCATCTTTGTTTACTAGGGCTCATAAATGATAACATTTCCTCCAGGAATCTGGGTGTTGCTGTTGTTGTTAATGTTGTATGAGAAGACAGTGCTATGTGCTTTCCACTTTTTAATAATTACATAGGTACGAAAATACAATATATACTTAGATTTTTATTTTTTTTTTTTACAAAAGAAATATGTAAGTAGCTCCAGTATAAAATAGGGGTAATAATTCTTCTGCCCCTCAAGTAGAGGCTGTAGAGTTTCCTGAGAGGAGTTGACAAATGCAAGTTATCGTTGCTGGATTTCCTCTTCCTGTACAGACACAGCGTTTGGCTGACATCCTGTGAAATGTGTACCAGTCACCAGTGTGTTTTCAGCTTCGAGGGTCGTTCTGAAATTCCTTTTTTTCAGCTGTTCTGGAAAAAAAAAAAAAAATCCAGAGGCCATTGACACCAGAAGGATCTGTCATGACAGTGTTCTCTGCGTTTTGTTTAGAGCTTTTGCAAGAGGCTCCTGAAATATTAATGGCTTTCTGCTTTGTGAGACATCACAGTGCGGTGGTGCAGGCTCTGTATCCTCTCTGTGTTCCCAAAACACACGTGGTTCAGAGGCCTTTTATATATTTTAATACAAAGTGGCTGGTTGAGTGGTCCGTGTTCTCCCAGAGGAGCCAAAACTCACTTCATGGATCAAGAAAATAAAGGGCTGTAAGGCAATTTACCATTCAGGCTATTGTGGAGGAGGGTGATTTAAAACGTTGTAGTGGCTTGGAAAAAAAGAAAACCCAAAGCAGTGATTGAAAGGCTTGAAATGACTGAGTTAATGTGACAACTCTCCTTCCCTCAGCTGGGTCTGTGGCAGAGGTGATTGTGCACAGTTAATGTCTGTGGAGCTCAGTGGTACCTGTTTGCAGGACTTGCTTTGAAATTAAGAGTGAGACATCATTTATTTAATAGATACCATTAAAGAATGACTTTCTGATGAAGTAAGTTAGGTGTTAAACACTTTTCAGGTGAACCATTTACTTATGTAATTATCTCTCGTTAACATTACAATAAATGTTTCTCCAGGGAGTTTAGCCAATCATGAAATGCAATTAATTTTCAAATACTCTTCAGCAACAATTGAGATACTAGAGACCGAAATCCCTAGTCAGTGTGTAGGTTCTTAAACTTCCCTGCTGAAGAGAAGCAGCTTCAGCTCAGCTGATTGTGAAGTTGTTAAACTCTTGGATTTTTAAGTGATTTATTTGGGCCTGTCACAAGTGTGGAGTGCTTGGCTTGATACCCACGTTGTGTAATCCTGATATCTCCCCTGAGTTTCTAGAGCACTGAGGAGGTTCAGGATGCTGTTCTTGAGCTTAAGCCCAGCACTGGATGAGGCTGGAAGAGTTAAAATGCTCTTGGTTTCTGCCGGGGATTCCAATTGCTGTGTGATACAGCCGGGGCTCATAGCCAGCTGTGTTGCTGTTTGTCCATGTGTAAAATGGGAGTAACACACATCTCGTGTCTCTAAGGTGGAGATGTGTAGGTGGAAAGAACTGGTTGGTGATTGTATTGTCTGTGGACAGCATCCTCCTGCTTAAGGTTACTTAATTCACTTTCTAACTGAAGTTTTGTTACAGTTGCTTTTGTTCCAAGTCTTCCTAGTGCACTGATAAAATAAAATAATCTGTGAAATTCCACCTTCTACAACTACTTGGTCCAACAACTTTGGAAAGCTTTTCAAGAATAGATGAATTTGCCATGGCTTGCAGTTTCCAGATGAACTGCTGGTGTGGCTGAAGTAGGGATCTCCGTTTGAACAGAGCCGGATTTTTAAATGGGAAAAGGAGCAGAGTGATGTTGTTAGCCCTCACCTGTGCCAAGCAGACCTGGTTCTGCAGCTGGCTCTGTTTTTTTGGCTTTTAAGCCTTGGGCCCCAGTGCAGATTCTGTTCCAGCCACTCTGGATTGCAGGGGACAGATGGGCTCGGGTACAGGAGGGTTTACAGCCGGCTGCAGAGGATTCCAGCCCCGGGTGCTCACAGATCCCAGGCACTGGAACCTGCAAATCTCACGTATTTAGAGATTGAAGAAGAGGAAAAGCTTTTATCCTTTCATGCTTGCAAAATCCAATGTAGGAAAGCTCTTGCCACTGATACTGTCTCTTCACAGCACACAAATAAAACCACTTCGGTTGAATCTGTGCATTTTCCTGAGGCTTTCTCCTCAGCTGGGGTAAAGAGGAAAGGAGGCTTTATTTACAGATGTTGCTTTCAGAATGAGCCTAGCGCTGTGATATTATCTGTAAATACGTCTCTGGGCATCAGACATCTTTCCATTTATTTAGAAACAGGAGATAAAGACTGTCTGACATGGGAATGAATTCCTGCACTCCTTTTTGTTGCCTCGGAGTATGTACGCAGTTTAAAATGAGTCCGAATCTGCTGTTATATCACCCTGTTGCTTCCAGCAGAATACCCTTTTTTTTTTTTTTTTTGACCTATAAATCTCGGTCCTCGCTGTTTACACTGACCTCTAAACATAAGAGACCAGAATGCTCTGGGTTTTCTGCCTTGTTCCTGGATGTGTCTCTGAGATTGAACCTGGTGGGATTCAGGTCTGAACTCCTGGAGTTGTTTGGATGTTCCCTGTAAATACAGGGCAGCCCGTGGGTTTCAGCAGTGTGGATTTTGTAAGCACCTACACACAGATCACAGTCAGATCATTATGTTGATCTAAACCATTTTGTAATCCTCTACAATCTGGGTTTAGAGACTGTTATTAGTGTCACAAATAAAAGCTTGTGACTTCTTTAGTTCTCGGGATAAAAGAAGCCATGTACTTTCAGGGAATTACATATTAAAATTAAAGCACCATAAACATGTGGGAGTTTGAGGATAGTTATCCCACTTTTCAAGACTGAGCCCTGAATTCATATGATTGCAAGAGAGAAATTGATTAATTTTTATTTCATAATTGACCATGTACTGACAAAGCAGAGCTAAACCAGGAGGACAAGGCATGAAAAAATCTTTTAAAAATCTTTCTCAGTAACTTGAAGCTTTAAATATGGTTCAAAAAAGTGTTTTCTATTTGGATTTTCTTTCTGTTGTTTTTTTTTTTTAAACTGAACATGTAGGAAGGAAACCTCTTTTTGCCCAGATAGGTCACAGATTTAGAAAGGGGTAGAAAGGTACTTAAGAGTTCTATTTTCTCACAAACTGTTTCCTAAGCTCGTGAAAAGCCTCTTCAAAACGATCCCGACAGAAAGTGATTTCAGCTCTTGTTACATTCCTGCGTGTAATGGATATTTTGCCATTACAAACACTGGCAGCTCCCAGCCTCCATCCTGGCAGGGGAAGCAGGGAGGGTGTGGGAAGGACAGCAGGCATCTCTGTGATGGGCACACACGGGGCTGGCTGTCACCGCTGCCCGGCGAGATGCCATCCCTGCTCACAGCCCTCTTCCCGCAGGTACCTGAAGGAGTTCCGCACGGAGCAGTGCCCGCTCTTCGTGCAGCACAAGTGCACTCAGCACCGGCCCTACACCTGCTTCCACTGGCACTTTGTGAACCAGCGCCGGCGCAGGTCCATCCGCCGCCGCGACGGCACCTTCAACTACAGCCCCGACATCTACTGCACCAAGTACGACGAGACCACGGGAATCTGCCCCGAGGGAGATGAGTGAGTAAAAGGCTGCTCCCTGCTTTTCAGGCATTAGGCTTTTGGGATCAGGCCAGGTGATGGTTCCAGCCGGTTCTTGCAGAGATGAGGCAAGTCAGCGGTAAAGCAGCTTTGTCACATACGTAACATGAGAGCAGATGTGAAATCTGGAATAGCAGCCCCTGTGCTCCAGGCCTGCTGCAGAGACAATGCTGAGGGTGACTGAGATGGGAATTCAGCTCTTGGGAACTCACTGTGCTCGTGAGCTTCAGCATCTTCAGCAAAGCTGAAGTAGGAAAAGCAGCTCTATGAGACAAATGAGTTTGGAAACACTCTGTTCTCTAGTCCCTGACTCTCAGCTCTTGCTCACTTGCAGGGTAACTTATTTTTTCACAGACTGAAAAAAGGCAAGGAACTTTGTCCTCCAGTCTGCCCCCTGAGTTATCTGTCCCAGCTTTTTAACTCATATCAGTTTATTTTGTCTTTCTGAACTTTTAAGAAGCCGATAGAGAACCGAGAGGTACCCAGAATAAGGCAACATGAAGAAGAGTTTGGGTTTTTTGGATGTTCTCCCCCCATGACTGCAGTAGGTTTAACTGGGGCAACACCACAAATCTTTCTGCTGCGTGTGTGGCAGACCCCAGCAGTTAAGGGGTTAACCCGCTGATATAACTTTAGCCATGTGACAGATATGGGATAAATAGTGTAGCCAAACTGTGGTCAAACATGGAGAGTGTTTTATTGAGAGATGCTGTAAAAAGATGGAATTTCAGTTCCCTTTTGTGGTGCCAGTATAAACATACAAAACTGCTATTTATTGGTAAAACTTTTGTTTTTCAACTCAATTAAGTAAAGTTTTTGTGACTACAACAGAATGGAATAGTCCCTCAGGCCTGAGGCTTCAGTTTCAATACTTTTCTTCCTTGCTAGAAGAGATCTGGAAGGAACTGGAAATGGGATGTTTGTGGGCTTTGGCTTCTAGATCATTTGTTGATACATGGCTCAAACTCAGTGAACGAAAGCTGTTGTCATCTAGGAACCTTTGCTCATTTATATTTTTACCTTGATGCTGCAATATCTGAACTTTTCTCACTCCATTTTGTTATATTTCTGTTTTATTTCTCAATGTAGATTGTTCTGCCTAAAAGGGGAAACAAACAAGTTAAAGTGGTAGTTTCATAATTGTCCTTCCTTGTCCCATATCCTTGCTCTTTTTCAAGATCCCTGCCAGCCACTCATCCGGAATAATAATGTGCTGCTGGATTAATAATCCAGTTTTCTTTTAGGGAGGGAAACTCTTATATCCTTTGTAGTGATAGGTTTGGGGGTTCTCTGAAGTGTTGGCACAGCATAAGAGAAGGGACAGAGTTAGCAAAGATGGTGTCAACTGCAGCAGCATCTCTCAGCAAAGTGTCCTCTGGTAGTTGAATCCCTCACCTGAGTGACTAAGCCTTGTCTGTTCCTCCCCTCCTTCCTTCCTCAGGTGTCCCTTTTTGCATAGAACTACTGGAGACACAGAGAGGAGGTATCACCTGCGTTACTACAAAACTGGAATCTGCATCCATGAGACAGACTCCAAGGGAAACTGCACCAAGAACGGAGTCCACTGCGCCTTTGCTCATGGGCCCCATGACCTGCGCTCACCCGTGTACGACATCAGGTCAGTAGAGCCTGGGGCTCCTGGGAAAAGGGTAATTTCTGTACCCAAATGCAAAAGGACATGATGGAAAAGGTAATTTCTGTACCCCAGTGAAAAGTGAGGTGATTGAAGGGCAGTACTGTTTCAGCCTGAAATGAAGCGATGGTGACATATCCCTTCCTAATAAGGCAAATGGAAAAAACCTCCAGGGAGGATTCTCAAAATGGGGGAAGGGATCACACTTTGGAATCTGATGGAGGGGGGGGTCAAAACAGTGCATCTGGAATTCCCAGGGAATTAAGTCTTATTTTTATTGCAGTTGCTGTTCAGCTAAAGATGTTCTGACAAAACATGCATGGCTGAAATGCACCCATTTAGCAAATGCTCGAGTATGTCAGTTTTTATACACATTTATCTGACTCTTCCTCTGCTCAGTCTGTTTGTTCATTTAACTCTGTCCCTGAAGAGAGCTTCAGGCAATGGAAGCTTTACAGAATGGTCAGACAACATCTGAAGGAGGCATTGAGGGTCAGTCTGCGGTCGCTGCCAGCCACGCCATGATAGAGAAAATACTCAGTGAGGAGCCAAGGTGGCAAGGTGAGTGTCACTGAGGGTTTGGGAAAGTTTGGTCTTTGTTTAGTGCCTGCTTCTGTCCAAGACTTCTCTGTAGTAAATATGGATGTGGTCATCTCTCTTGACTCATGGGGGTTTTTTTTGCAGATACAACATATGTGTTGGGAAATTACAAGACAGAGCAGTGTAAGAAACCCCCCCGGCTCTGTCGCCAGGGTTATGCCTGTCCCTACTACCACAATAGCAAAGACAGAAGACGAAGTCCAAGAAAACATAAATACAGGTACTGTGATCCTGGATGTTGTACTTCCCAGCTCAGTGGTGCAGGAGGCAGGATTTTGACCACTAGTCAGTTGTTTTTAGTGTATCTCCAAGCCATGTACTGAGAAATATGATGATCTGTTGTTTCTTCTTAGCAGAAAGATAACAAACTAGACAAGGAGTTTTCCTATATATAGTGACCAGTACTTTAATAAATGAATTGTTAAATCATCTATAGCAAAGAGAACCTGTGTCTAGCTTTCCCTTACCACATAAACCTCTGCTTTAGAAAGCAGTGCAGGGAAGAGAAAACAACAGAGAGTTTTAATCCCCATCTAGAAACAATCTCACACAACAATGTGTTCATGGTAAAGAATTCAGAATCGTCAGGCTGCTTGTTGTGTATGCCTGGTGATGGGGATCATGAGCAGGGACTGTAGCTGGACATGCATTCCTAACCAGCTGCTAAAGGCTCTGCTTTTGAGGCACCAGGGTGTTCTGTCACTCAGCTGTCGCTGGATTTTTCAGCATGCTGGGTCTCCCTGAACGCATTTCATCCAAATTATAGGCCCTCATTTCCTCCAACACAACAGAGCTTTTGTTGTGGTCTCAGTGGGGCTTTTCCTTAGTTCACTTTTGAAAAACATAGGAGCAGACCAGAAAGCCAGGGGAGAAAACATCAGGGATGTTCTCGCTTCTCTTCCCCACCCCCAACATTCTTAGAAATTTTAGAATTGGCACTGAAATTCCATATTTTAAAAAATTAAACAGGCAGCAATCAAAGGAATGTTGATCTCAACACTTTAAGGGAAGTAGAACGGTTAGGGCAGTCTTCAGGCAGCAGCTGTGTGCTTTTTGCCCCTCTCTGGGCCCTTTGGGAAGGGAAGAGGTGAAAGCTTTTCTGCTGCTCTGCACTCATTCCTGTGTTTTCCCTGCCCCAGCTGATGTGGCTGTGCTGGTGCTGCTATCTGCTTCCCTCTGCTGTTGTTTGAGGGAATGGTTAAGAGCATAAAGAGCAGGGGAAGTAGGTCACGGCAAAAATTCAGATCTGGGAAAAGAAACTGTTCCTGGCTGGGAGAAAGAAAATGGACTTGCCTTTTCCCCAGTGACCTGACTCAGCCTCTTTTTCACATGGCCACACTATAAACCTGGAAACATACTGCTGTAAGGGTATTATGTGTTTTAGGATTAGCCAATTAACTTCTTAGCTTTCTATGAAGGTGCAGTTCCAAAACAGAAACCAGACCCAGCGTCTCTGACACTAATCACATCAGCTGCTAATATTGTTGTGCTGGTTCAAGTTGTATTTCATTTCAAATAGAGAATTAAGCCATGTTTTTGTTTTTTTTTTTTTTCATTGGGAAATTGGAAGAAGGGGAAGAAGATGCAATAGCAGCTGGGTGGGGGCTGGGGAAACAGCAGCCAAGCAGATTGTACAGCTGAGGATGGGCAGCCAAACCTGCCCCCAACTGAGGAATTGTAACATCACTGAATGGTTTGGGTTGGAAGGGACCTTAAAGCTCATCTTGTCCACACCTCCCACTATCCCAGGTTGCTCCAAGCCCCATCCAGCCTGGCCTTTGACACTTCCAGGGATCCAGGAGCAGCCACAGCTTCTCTGGGCACCCTTTGCCAGGGCCTCCCCACCTTCACAGGGAGGAATTTCTCCCTTGTATTTAGCCTAAACCTATTCTCTTTCCATTTAAAGCTGTTCCCCCTTGTCCTGGCACTCCAGGCCCTTGTCCCCAGTCCCTCTCCAGCTTTCCTGGAGCCCCTATAGGCACTGGAAGGGGCTCTGAGGTCTCCCTGGAGCCTTCTCTTCTCCAGGCTGAACACCCCCAGTGCTCCCAGCCTGGCTCCAGAGCAGAGGGACCCTCAGAACACCTTTTTGGTTCTCTCTGGACTTGCTCCAGCAGGTCCACATCCTTCTGATATTGGGGAACCCAGAGCTGGATGCAGTCCTCCAGGAGTGGGTCACAGGGGGAGAATCACCTCCCTCCAGCTGCCCAAAGTAATCAAAGCTCAGAGCAGATCTGTGAGTCTGATGCCTTCTCCTGCTCCCTTATTTCCACAGATCTTCACCGTGTCCCAGTGTGAAACACGGGGACGAGTGGGGAGATCCCAGTAAGTGTGAAAATGGAGACTCCTGCCAGTACTGCCACACCCGCACAGAGCAGCAGTTCCATCCAGAGGTACAGTAACCTCCTCACTCCACTGAGAAAAGCATTCCAGTCTTACAAAGAAAATTACTGTGCCAGGTGGGAGAGGATGTGGGCTGCTTGTAGTGTGGTCCTGGGATACAGAGAAGCTGCATGTTGGGAGTAAGCTGCAGTTCAGCTGCTTAACAGAATAGACTGCATGGGAGGAGGTAAGAAAAGTGGGGGAAAACTCAAGTGTAGGAGCAGTCTCAGGTATGGGGGTCCTTTGGGAAGCACAATGTGGGTCTGCATGTGAGCAAGCAGCATCTGTTTCCTTAACTAAGAGTGTGTGGTTCATGTTCACAGCACTAAACACCACCAAGCTCTTAGCTGTGAGCATGCCCAGAGCATTCCAATATCCTTACAGAAAGTGTAATTAAGACCTTTTCGTAGTGTGCTTCATGTTACAGTGTTGAAAAGCTTTGTGGGGCCCGTATCTGCACAGTAACCATTGTCACCGCCTGTCAAACTGGGGGGAAAGGGAATTATCCATTTGCTACAGTCCTTGTCAATGGTTTGTTATTTTCCTTGCAAACATGTGGCTGCAACTTTCTGTGCTGTCATCTGTCAGCTGTTTCCTACCTTTTGCCATTTGTAATGTCCATGGAGCTTCCAGTCAGTCTGAGGGACTTCATGGCATATGGTGACCTTTGGGTGAGCTGGTGTGTGGTGGGTTGGTCTCTGGGTGAGCTCTAGCTGTCATGGGCATATTTTGGTGTTTCCAGAACTATAGTGGGTTTTCCTTTCGTTGAAGCAAAGCACTGAAATGGTCACCCTGAGCTCTGCTGGCCTTTGCACCTCTTATCTGTGTCCTTACCTTGCTGTCAAATTTCTTCATAATACTTCTGTACCTGATGGTCATTGTTATTTTCTGTTCATTCCTGTTTGGTGTTTTTGTTTTGTTTTGTCTTTTTTTTTTTCCCCCATCCTTAGATCTACAAATCCACCAAATGCAATGATATGCAGCAGTCTGGCAGCTGTCCCCGAGGACCCTTCTGTGCCTTTGCACACGTGGAACGTACGTGCACTACTTCTCTCATCTTCCCTGCATGTTTGAGCTATGGAAAGTTTCTGACCAAGGGAGTTTCAATGTAGAGCTGCAAAAGTGGAGTTTTTGTAAAGGGTTAACCTTTGATTTCTGTGAAACTGTGCTGGTGTGGGAGGTGTTGGCAGAGCTGGAGGCAGTAGGTGGTCTGTAGGACTCAGCCTTTAGCTCTCACTGCACTGTCTCTTGAGGGATCTCCCTCTTTTCCCTCTCTCCTGCTCAGTTCTCTGAGTGTCAGTTCAGGAGGATGGAAGTGGAGAAAGCTGCTTCTCTTCTGTACATGGATGAACTGTACCTAGCTAAATTGCCAAGTGTCATATCTTTAAAAGCTGAAGATGAAATTGCTGATTGTAGATAATTTATGGATCCATTTAAAAAAAAAGCTATTTTACTCTTTATGAGGTTTTACTTAGAGTTTAAGTCTTTAAGTCAGGTTGGAGAAGAAAAATATGCAGCTTTTTTTTTTTTTTTTACTGCTTTATCTCAAATCCTCTTTTCTCAATAGCTCCCTGACTTATAGGGCATTATTTCAATCCTCACTTTAATCAACTATAAACTAGGGATGCAGTTTTAGTTGTGGAAGTTCTACCTTCAGGTGGTCCTAACATTCATAAATAATGGTTTTAGTTCCTGTCCTAGGGCTCTTCCTCAGATGCTGCTCTGCAATCTCACTGCTGAATTTGCAACAATTAGAGCAGGTTACTCACTAGATTTGTTCTAATACTGACTCACTACGTGGCCTTGAGAAAATCTCTTTGTTATTTCATTATCCTTTGTAAATGAGGGAATTAGTAATTGCTGCCTTTGACAAGGAATGGAGAGAGTAAATTCCCTACAGGTTATGCAGTGCCTTTTATAGGAAGCCTTGTTGACAAGCAGTAATTATAGCTGGAGCTGTGGGCTGGAATGGCCCAAAACAGAGCAGTGCAGCTACACAGTGGGATCCAGCAAGCTTTAGGAAATTAATCTTGGTAAAGGAACAGTGTTTAGCAAACTTCCTTGGGTATAACGTAGTATTTTTGTTTAGGAATGCCTTATTCCTAATAAGGTTATTACACTTGATATTATATTACTTAGAGTAACATTCTGTAGCATTTAGGTCATTCCAACTTGATTATTTCTTGTGCTGTCCTATGGATTTGTATCTTTTAGTCCTTCCTACAAGGTCAACAAGGACAGGCCTAATGCAATTAAAATAACAGGAGTCCATTTATTTTATCTGCTCTTGAACCCGAGTTTTACTGATTAATAGCAAGAAACCATCATTTTGAGGATGATGAAATATAGATGTAGTATGAGTTCTATAGTTTTTGTGAAGATGCTGAGTGTTAGATGTAAATCCTGTAAATCTACAGCATCTCTGCCTTTCAAACCAGTGCCACTTTTTTTTTTTGTAATGATTTGTACTGAGCACAGATGGAAACTTTAACTCCCTCAGCTAATTATAATGCACCCATCAACTTTGTGCCAGGCAAAGAAGGAAACTCTGCTTAGTTCAAGAGAGCTGAATGAATAACACACAATTCATCCACGGAAGATAATTTTGGAGCAGCATTAATAAGCTAAATAGCAGCACAGTGTGTATGTGATGACAGTAAAAATGTGAGGAATATTAGATAAGCAAAGGAGCCAAATAAGGTTTTTCCTTACTTCTATATTTATAAGTAGATGCTTGTGGAGTATTTTTTTCTCTCAGGAATATCTGGGTATTCTTGTTGCTAAAAGTCTCCATAGCAGTTGCCGGTTTTGAGTGGTGTTCCCTGTGCTTTGTGTCCCGCAGAGCCGGCGCTCAGTGAAGATTTACAGCAATCCTCGGCCGTGTCCAGCCCCACCCAGACAGCACCAGTGATGTACATGCCCTCAGCAGCTGGAGACTCTGTTCCAGTCAGCCCTTCCAGTCCACATGCCCCAGACCTTAGCAATGTATGTAGCCCTGTGAAGAAGCCTTGTCCATATTGTGCAAATCTGTGTTTCTCTGAGTCACTGTTTTTTTCTCCCAAGAAAAGTATCCAAAAGCCCAGAGGATATGAGATTTTTCTGTTAGTTCTCAGCTCCGTGCTTTTTTATCTGTTTTTTTTGGAACATGCATTCAGTGGCTTTAGTATTGTCCTCTTACCTATAAAAATTCCAGGCCTTCCCTTGTGTGCAGGGTTTGTTGATGTACTTTCAGGAAAGTGGAATACATCCGCACATGAATCCAACTCCTTCCTGTCTGGAGGTACATATTGGGCTTAGCTTCCAAGACCTATAATTAAAGACTGTGAGCCAACAGCCTCTAAAGTACATAACTACAATTGAGTTTGTTTACATATGTAATCTCAGAGCCTGAGCCTGTGCATATTGTGTGTTGCATTATAGGATATCCTTAGTTCCCTCCCTCTTGTACTTCTGGAGATAGAACTCTGGGATATGTTTCAGTAATGCCCCAGATTGTTGGGAGGTAGTTGTCTGTACAAGAAAGGAGATGTCTAAGGGCTGAACAGATACTCAGGTTAGAAACCCATGGAATGCTAGACTACATTTTTACTTAGATTTTGTTTGCTTTTTTTTTTTTTTTGTTAAGTCTTTCCTGTTTGTACTGCACTTGATAAGGTGTGTAACCTTTTCAGATGGTTGGCTGAGATTTTTGAGAAGGTACAATGACATGAATTTAACTCATTTGAAACTAGTCAGGCTGAGGTGAACTCATCTAGGACCTCTGCTTTATTTTATTCCCTCTCTTTGAAAAGAGAAGCTGTGTTTGAGCCAACCTAGCTGTTCATAGTTGTCCTGAATTGGATTGCAGGTAGAATTCCAAACAGATCTTGAAAAGTCTGGACATATTGTCTCTTGCTAAATAACACTGGAAAGCAAAAAAAACCCAAATCCCCTCCATCTTATGAAGGTATCATTTAAATTCTCTGAAAACTGCAGGGAAGTTGAAGATATCTCCTACTTTTAGGTTGTTTAGGTCTTGTCTATCTCAAGCTCTTAGTCTTTCAAACAGTCTTTCCTAATCCTTGGTTATGTGCCAAATGGCAACACATGTCTGTCTATGACTTCATCACTCCACAGGGCATCTGCGTGGAGCTTGCAAACAAATATGGCTTTGCTGGTGATCATTTTACATGATGAATTAATCAGAGAAAAAGGTCCCTGTAGCAGCCAGCCTCACGTGGCCTGTTCTGTTTTGTATTTGTACTGTAGGTGTGGAATAAATCAGGAACTCTGCCAACTAGCCCCACCTCCACCACAGTGAGTAGTTATCTTTGCGACTGTAGGGAAGCGTGGACAGCAGAATGTCTGTATAAAAATAAAATAAAAACATTGTAGGCTGCTCCTTTTTTTTTTTCCTAATGCCAGCCCAGACTATGCCACATTTGAATCTGTGATGTCTGAAGCACAATTGTGCTTGCCAGTGGAGGCAAATAATTTGTTTTCCCAGAGAAATGGGATATTTGCGTTCATCCAGGTGAACACATTCTCTAAAAATCAACTTCCTTTGCTGCTGTCTGTGGCTTCATCTACAGTGCAAAACTAGCCTTGTTGCATGTGATTGTGATCCCTGGTATCAGTCCAAAGAATGAAAGTGTTGGAAATCATTGGGGTTTTTTTTTAAATGCAGCTGTTGATACCTGACTTATGTCTGTATTAAAACTTTGAGATTTCCAACTGCAAAGCAAAAAATACAATATTACATATAGCTCAGATATGCCTGATTGTTGTGACTGCTGCAGCACCTTTCCAAGTTCCACATCAATAGGCAGAGTCAGACAGGACCCACTGTAGCCTAAGGAAAGAGAAGAGTGTTTTGGTCATATTGGAAACCTGATCAGTCACCTCTGAGGCCTCAGAAAGAATAGATGTCAGTAGAGCTGCAGGTTAGATTTTACAAGACTTCACTCCAAAGTAACAACAATAAAACCATAATTGTGGGACTGTGTAAATTCAGTGGAGCTTTTTCCTGTTTTCTTAATGGATGTTTTCTGGAAGCTTGTATGGTTGTGTTGGCTGTCAGTGTAATCGGCCTACAAACAGTGACGTGATTGAGCCCTTCCATGGATGCCTCTCTTTGAGCACTTCCTGCTGTACTTTCCTGACACTTGTTCCCTCTGTTAGATTCTTTGTAGGAACAGCAGTCTTGGAAGCCCATCTAATATATGTGGGTCTCCTCCTGGTGCCATTGGGAAGCCCCACAGCTTGGAGACCATTGGTTTTCCTGCAGACTCAGTCACAGCAGCCGGCAGCTACAAGAAAGCACCGGGGTTTGAGCGAGAAGATCAGGTGGGGGCCGAGTATTTGAAGAGTTTCAAATGCCAGGTTAGTGGGGAATATTGGCTGGAAGAGTTGGGGGGATGAGAAAGAATGAGAAACTGCCCAGTCTAGCCTGAATGGGGTTTTGTTTCTGATGGAACAAAAGTGGGAAAGCACTGTTCTCATATGAGAAGTTTCTGGATCTCTGCTCTTGCTGTCAGCCTCCCCTCCAGCCTCTTTCATCTCACATCTGGTCTTGTCTCCCTTGCTGCCATCACACACCCAGTTTGTAAAAGTTGAGCTGCTGCTTGTTTTCCTAACCCCTCTCAACTTCTGTCTTGTGTTGACCCTGGGTAGCTTCCCACATCACTTCTTGCTCTTTCTTTTTATATGTTTAGGTCCTTGCCAAGAGTTGCTGTGTCTTTTGCTGTATTGTCTCATGGAAGCTCATCCTTCCTTCTGTCTCCAAACTCTTACCTTGCTCTCCATGACTTGGTTTGTCCTCTGTTCACCATTTCTCTGGTGTATTAAAGATGTCATGTTAGTTTTCTCTTTCTTCTGTGGCTGTATCATTCTGATCCTTGACTCTCTCCTGTGGCTTCTGTATTAAATTAGAATTCCTCATTCTTATTTTAAGAACCCTCTGAATATTACCCAACCCACATTTCTTAGTGACATTCCCTCTCTTATCCCTTTTGGATATTCCAGTCTTGCCTTGCTGCTTCCTCAGTCTTCTTCCTGGTGTCATGCCTTATTCATGCTGCTCCCTAGGCCTGGAAGAGTCTCTTCCAGCTCTTTTGCCACACATGAGCTTTTCCACAGTCAGCTTCTTGCTGTGAATTTCCTTTCTTGATGTTACAATTAATAGTTTCCCTTCCAGCCTGAGCCCTACCCAGAGCTTGGGTTTTTATTTCAGTTTTAATTTTTCACTGTGTTTGTAATTTTATTTAGGGGGAGGGGAATAGCTACTTGTATGAGGAAGTGCCTGCAAAAGTATCTCCTACAAATTCTTATACAAGAGTATAAAAAGGAATGAGAATAGCAGGTCTGTGTTGCCTGAGAACAGAGAGGGCAAGAAGTGCTGCATTCAGCCTGACCATGTTTTAACTTTGGTCTGTGACATTAAAGAAGTCAGTCTTAATGAGCCTGTACTGCTGTGAGAAAACTGTGGAAATATCCTGTCCAGACAAGGTCTTGCATAAAGCAGTTGAATTTAGAAGCAGACTCCACGGGTTTTATTTATTTTTATGGCTTTGGGAAAATATGGCCAAGCTTTGCAGTAGGGCCAGTCTTGAGCACTGTTTAGTCTAATTAAAATGATGCAGTGACAAATCCAGATTAAACTACATGCATGTGTGCTCTCTTATCAATGCTCCCTTTGTCTGGCTTAAGGGGATGTGCCTTAGGAAACTGCAAATTGATGCAACACATCTTTGGGGGTAAAGAGCAGAGCATGCTGTGATCCTGGCACTTCTTGCAGGCACAGCAGCTTGTAACAGTTGTTTAGAAACAAAAGGAAAAACATGTCCTCGTTCTCTGTGGCCTCTGCTGCAAAGGAGGAGTGAACCCAGAGCTGAAGCACTGAGAGAACCCCTGTCTGCTGCCAGCAGAGGCAGGGTGCCAAGGAGGCCCTGCTTTGGAGAAAATGGGCAGCAAGCCTAAGCCAAGGAGAAAGGGGATGGAGCATGAAAAGGACTTGTAAAAGGAGGGCCAGATGATGAGCATTTGTATCTGGAGTCAGATCTGTGCTACAAAGATACAGTATTCACGTAACTGCTCAATTATGTGGTTTTAATTAAGCAAAACCTGTGTTAAATAGGAATAAATAGCTATTAAGGTATAGACAGAAGTAATCACAGTTGCTTTATGCTAGGCTTCTACAGACAAAATTAGGTGTCTCAGAAGTGTTCTGATTTAATTTTACTTTAATTTATAATTACTTACTTTTTAAATTCTACTGTAATTCCCTTTGGCTGCAGTGGGCACCAGAGATTCTCAAATACCCTGTAAATTAGACCAATAATGAGGCATTTAACTTTGTCAGCTCCTGTATGAAAACATCAGAGGAGACACTCTGGCTCAGTTCTGCAATGGCCTTGTCATTTTTCCCCTGTAGAATTGGTACAAATAGTTTCTAAGTTATTAGAATGAAAAATGCACCTTCTGTCTTAAGTTTATGGTAAGGCTGAGCCAGCAGTTAAAGTTAAAAATACTTTTCCCAAGTCCCAAAAGATTTAGCAAGCTGGAAAAATGCTGCCTGTACTGGAAGGACTTGAATGCCACGACCAGGAGGTGTTCCCAAGTCTTGACACACAGCACAGTAGGTTTGTTCCATGCTGGTCAGAAAACATTTAATTTCACTCATAATTTATGTCCCTTGTTCTCTTCCCTGACTGCAACAGAGAGAGCTGGAGAATTTCAGCCTGTCCTTTGAATGTCTGCCTCGATGTGTGCCCTTTCTGATGTTATTCAGAGCTAAAGGAGACTGGCTTAGTGGTGACATTTTGTTTGTTCTATTTTTCCCTTGTCTTCTGTGAATTCCAGGCAGTGGGAACTGGGGCTAACTTGGAAATATGTTCACTTTTCTCCTACTTAAAGGAAAAAAAAGTGCTTTCAGTAAGTCTGAAGTGCAGCAGAGCCAGCTCCCCACGTTGGCAGGAAGCCTCTCAGTGGGGGCACGGCTGTGTGTGAGCCCTCCCTGAGCTGCTGACGTGTGAGATAGCACATTTTGTGTTCAGATGAGTGTCAGCTGGGGCAGGGCTGTGCTGGATAATGCAGCAGGAGCATTATCAGACACACACAGAGGCACTCACAGAGCACAGCTCTCCCACACAGACAGTGAACCCATCGTGGGCTCCTGTGTTGGGAACACGTTCAGGGAAGTGTGAGAGAACAGTCCCTGCTGCAGGAAGATTTTTGTGTCCATCTCCCAACTGTCTGCCAGGCTTTGACCTCTCTATCTGCCCATGGGCATAGAGCTGAGCAGAGAAAATGATTTAATGAAGTAAAACCAGGGGAGGAATTCTTCTGCTGCTCTTTAGCCTGTCTGGTTATGTCACCCCTCTCCAGCATTCCTTTATCTTTGTCATGAGACTGTTCAGGCCAGGAAGTCAAGGGGTGTCATTTCAGCTCAGGCTGGTGCCTCATGTGCTGCTGCTGCACATCATGCCTCTGTTTCCTGCAGAGATGGTGCCTGCCTGGATTTGGGATAAAAATCAACTTGCTTTATGGCTGGAATATGTCTGTGTTTCACACTGAGGGGGTTGGAGAGTGAATAAAAAAGCAGGGCTGACTCCCAGCACTTCTTTGCTGCCTCTTGTGCCCAGAGGGTGGGATTGATCTCCCTGTGCCATGTCACAGCAGGGGAGGAAGGGAGCAAAGCCTGCAGACAGACTGTTACACACTGACAGGCTCCTGAGGCCACTTCCCAACTGGATCCCAGCAGAACTGACTGGGATAGTTGATAGCCATTAAGGATATAATGCTGGAAGCACCTTAAGCTGAATTTTTAGCCTGGATGGTGGGATTCTAAATGTATTGGCATTCATGCAGTTTTTGCAATTCCAAACAGCCTTATGTTTTCTACCTTTGAGCTCTTTATGTTAATGGATGAGGGGAGGATTTTTAAATAAAGTTAGTTTGGTGATGTTGCTTTGAAAATTGATTGGTTATCACTGTGTTTTACTTTGCAATCCTAGCTGAGAGCTAGGAAAACTTTGAGGAAAAACATAATCTACCATACTTTTATTTTCCCTAAGCTGGAAAATATTTGCATAATTTAACAATGCAGTGTGCCTCCCACCATTTCTGGCCCTTTCTGGGTGTTAGATGTTAGTAGTGCTGATGAGTTAATTATAGAAAGGCAAAATAATTTGGTTTTGATCTTGGTTCTTAGGATGTGCTTTGTGCTAGCAGGGGTCTTACAACAGCATTAAAGGCAAATGTCACTGTGACAAGTCTCTGCATAACTCTAGGGGTAATGTCTTGGTATACAGAAAGCAAATTACTTGGAATGTTTTCAGTTTGCTGTGCTTTTCCTCTCTCTAAATTCTCCAGTGCCTTGAGCAGCTCAAGAGAAGAGTGGTCTGTGTTTCCCATGGTCTCTCCAAAGCCAGCAGCCAGCCATTTTTAATTTTGCTAAATAATCCCTCTGCTTATCTTTTGTTTTATTTCTCTACTGCAGCAAGCAAAGATGAAGTCGCACTCCCTGGAACACAGGAGCCAGGAGCAACCTTTGTTACAGCCCAAACAGGTACGGAAGTGCTGGCAAGGCTCTGACCCAGCCCAGGGCTTCCAGCACCACAGAAATCTGTGGATCCAGACAGCTCTGCAGGGAGTAAATAACAGTCCAGACACCATTAGGGATGCTCAGCTGGAGGGATTACTTTATGAAGATGGGATGATTTGCTGGAGGTGTTATTTGTGAGTAGTTAGACCTGAGTGAATTCGGGGTAGATTCATAGGGCTGGACTGTGCAGGAGAGAGTCTTCAAATTACAGAAAATTGAGCTGGAATGGATCTCTGGAGTCATCTAAGTTCAAGGATTTGGCAAAGGCAATTTAATATCAGGTTCTAAGTGGTGTGCTGAGCTAAGGCTGAGTGAGTGATTGTGTGGTCCATGGCTGTGATTGCATGCAACCTGTGGGTCACAGGAGTTAATTCTGGGGCAGCCTGAAAGATGTTTAGAATACTGGGGAGGGGGATGGGGGGGCAACACGGAGGGTCATGGAATGGAGAGCAGTTGACAGAAATTAAGGAAAAGCTGTTAATCTCTCCCCACCCCCAGCCCAGTGGTAGCAGTAGCCATCTGTCAGGTTGGAAGCAGGCAGGAAACAGGTTCGCTGCTGGCATTTGGCTCGTTCCTGCACGTTTCTGAAGGGGTTCTTCCATCAAGACGTTTTATTTCCTACCTCTTTTGCTTTTCACACTCTTGTTTCAGGACATCCTGGGCATTCTCCCCGTGGGGAGCCCACTGACATCCAGCATCTCCTCTAGTATCACCTCCAGTCTGGCTGCAACCCCCCCGAGCCCGGCCGGCACCAGCAGCATTCCAGGCATGAATGCCAATGCCCTTCCCTTCTACCCAACCAGTGACACCGTTGAGTCTGTCATAGGTAACTTGGCCTTTTTCACTTATGAAAATAGGGTTTCCTCAGCCATGGATTGCCAGGTATGAGACTTGGAATAGCCTGGGTGTTCCAGTGACCTCCAGTTTTCCGTGTCTGTCAGTGCTGGCAGATTCCTGAAGCTTGTTCTGTGACCGTGACACATCTGATGTTTCCTGCAGGTCATTTTGGATGAAATTCACCCACGGGACCAACTGAAGGCCACTCAGAATGTCACATGGTGTAAAAGGGCCTTAGTTTTAGCTTTGTCAAAGTGACAAAGAGGTCTTGGACTAGGCAGGAAATCACAGGGGCATTTTCCACAGTTACATCCCCTCAGTTCTAAATGACAGTTTTATAGCCAGAGCTACCACCAGGTAGATTGTAAGGACTTTGCCCTTTGTAGAGTGTAGGACAGAGGCTGTAAGAGAAAGGAAAACAGGAGAGTCCAGAAAGTGGAGTCACTCTTAGATAGGCACAGGCTTTTTGGTCACCTGTTTTTCTTCTTCTTTTTTTTCTTTTTTTTTCTCTTTTTTTAATTAAATGTAACGTTTCTGAGGTGATCTCACTAATTTGTTAAAAATAATAATAGAAACGAGTGGGCATGTGTGGGATGGAATTATATTGATCATCATTAGTGATGAGGCATGTTCAAATAGATATAACAGTTTCAGGCATTAATAAGCTTTATTTTACCCAATATGTGAACCTCAGAGATGTTTTTCAAGAGTTCCCTTCTCCTGATATTTCTTTTCCAAGTGGCTTTTCAGGAAAGCAGGGACAATGCACAAACCAGACCCAGACATGCCATAAGCCAGTGTTCCTGTATGTATGGGACAGACTTAGAAGAGCAGTTTGGGGAAGACTTATGGGATCTGCTGTTAATTCATCAGAGTTTTGTTTTCATATACCATTTGGGAGTACTTTTAAGACAAAAAGAAACAGATCAGGTTCAAGAACCTGCACTGAAAAGCTACCCATGACACTTCTGCCAAACCATCAGAGAACAGGATGGAGAGTAGGGTTCTGAGAGGTAGCAAGCACAGGCTCCTCTGCATGTAGGCTCTTTGGGCCATCCTATCTCTTGAAGTTGTTGGTCCTTTATAACATAATTGGTACCTCTGTGTCTGGCAGAGTCTGCCTTGGATGACCTGGACCTGAATGAATTCGGAGTGGCTGCCCTGGAGAAGACATTTGACAGCAGCACAGTGCCCCACACGAGTGGCATCATGATAGGTACATGAAAGCAACAGAGCTTTCTTTATCTTCTGCCAAGCAGTGTTGCCCAGTCACCTCAGTGGAGCCAGCCCAACCAAGTTCTAAAACCAGTCCCAAAATTACATTGGTTAAAACAGCAATTACAACAAACTCTGGCAACCCCTGAGCATCTCTGAAGTGAGAGCTTGCCCTTACTGACTAGCAGAGCTGAGTTGTTGCCATTGGGCCCAGGTGTCTTGGGGATGTTTCTTGAGACTGAATGGGACTTGCCTGATTTTTTTTTTCTTTTTTTTCTCCTTTTTTTTTTTTGTTTTTCTTTTTTCTTTTTTTTTTGTTTCTTTTTTTTTTTTTTTGAGTGTGTAAGTGGACTCTAGAAGCATCTGATGCATTTCAAATCAGGCCAAAGTATAATAATTTGCATCTTAAGCAGAAAACTCTCCCTAGCTGTAACAGGAAACTCACTGACCTGGTAATGCCATCCATCTGTCAGAGTGTCATCATGGTCTGCTGATTTGGTTCCTGTAATGTCTGTCTCATTTTGATACATGGAGGTAGGCTAAGGCCTCTTCTACCTGTCTCTGATGGGTGTCCAGGGAAAAAAGAAACATCTCATAACGTTTCTGGAAATGATTGTAGTTTCTGGCTATCCTTGCTGTGTGAAGCAGGTGTTAGAACAGGAGCTAACTCTGCTTGTCTGAAGGTTTCCAAGGGAACTGCACTGCCTGGAGCTGTATTGAGGTAGGAAAGGACCTGTGGAAAGAATATCACTTCCACTTTCCTGCCAGACATTCGAGCCCGTTGGAGGTTTACTGTCCCTGTGTGCTGCCAGCCCTGCTGCTGCTGCTCCCCACCTGCAGTGCCTTAGGGACCCTCCCCTTCTCCCTCTCTTCTCATCACACCTGGGTGTTACCTGGTGACCTTCTAAGGAGGGACATAGAGGAGGAGAGAGCAGGGCTGAGTCTCCCTAAATCTCTGAGTGGCAGGCAGAACAACCTCTGGTGTAAGAGAAGTCTTTTGTGGTTAGGCTTTTGTTTATTTGGGGTTTTTTATTACTGATAGATCCAGGCACTCAGGTATGTGTAACTACAGCTAGTCACTGGTTTTTAGTGGTTGAGATCATGAGCTCACCCAGCATGTTGTTTTCTCACTACAGGTGGTTTGGAGGTATTAAAGGTAGAGGCACATATTTTAGAAGTGAATTTTTCGTGACAAAGTATTTCACCAGATACCAAATTTATCTTCTCCAGACTGACAGGGACCGAGCTCTGCTCAGAAAACCTTTTGTTCCTTTGGCCACTGAAAGAATAATCCATTGAATTGTAGAGGGTCTTAATCTATATGGGTGATGGGATGGCAGCTTCAGTGCTCCTCTTAAAGGCTGAGAGGGGAATGAAACCTCAGGAGAAGTGGAGGGAATCCCGAGGGGCTCAGGGAGAAGAAAGGGAACCTGACAGCTCCTGCTCTGAACTCCTGCCTGTGCCCACACCTCATGGTCATACATAGCCATCCTCTCTGTGTGTTCTTTGTCCAGGTGGGAGTTTGCTGCAAAGTTCTGCTCCTGTAAATATCCCCGGGTCCCTTGGAAGCTCTGCCTCCTTTCACTCTGCCTCTCCTTCTCCACCGGTCAGCCTCTCATCGCATTTCCTCCATCAGCCCCAGGGACACTTAAGCCAGTCAGAAAACACGTTCCTGGGGACATCAGCTTCTCATGGATCATTAGGTAAATGCACAGTGTGTGTGTCCCATGTACATGCCTGTCTGTGCCATGTAAGTATTTTCTTTTCAGTTGGCTTTAATTTCAATGTGTTATTTCACTGCTGCCATGTATCTCCTTCCCATGAGAACAGCAATGGGACTAGAAGCTGTTTTACCAAAAGTCAGCTCATACCTCATGAACCAGGAAGCAATTCCCTCTACTTCCCTTGTTTCTAGGCTGGGAAAAAGAGGCAGGCAGGTTAATTGCCTTGCTCTGGTGATGCCTTTCAGGGTAAAGAGCTCTGCCTTTTCCAGCCAGCGGTGCTTTGCTGAGGCTTCATAAAAAACTCAGAGCTGGGTCCTCATCGTGGCTTAGTTTAGGCAGGGATTGCAGTTTGCCCTTGGCAATGGTTGTGGGTCAGATTGGCTTCTGGGAGCTCTTGAGCAGGCCTGGGCCACTGGAACTTTTTCTCCTGTTTGGCACTCTGCACCAGTTCTGCAGTGTGGACTTTCCAAAAAGTCAGTGTTCCAGTTTTGTCCCTTTTGTTCCTTCCCCTCCTCGAGGGTTTTTCTCCTGTATGAGGGACTGATAGAAGAGAAATTACTTGGAGCTTCAGCAGAAAGAACAGGGAATTTTTTAGCAGACATATGTATTTTATTATCAAGACACAAGATTACCTTGAGAATTAAAACAATTTGGCCTCCAGGCTACGGGGACATCAGTTCTGCTCATTTCTGTTCATAACAGTAAATATTAATTCTCTCTATTGATGCTGGACATAAATGCCTCTTAAAATCTGAGATACACTTTAATCTTTAATATTCAGCTTAACCTAATAAAATGATTACATGCTTGTGTAAGCTATTTCTGCATGCACTTATGTGTAACTGCATCCCTTGTTTGCACAGCTCAAGCCCATGCTTCCACGCTTTCTATTGCTCCTTGTTTAGTTCTAACAGCTTTTACAATTACTGTAATAAAAGACATCAGAGGCCATCTCTGCTCTCAATTAGGTTGAGGTTGGCTGTTTGTCCCAGTTTTTGTAGGGAAAGGAAAAATTGCTGTTTCAGAAGAAATGAGTTATTATGTTTATCTTGGCTGTGTATTTATACAAATTAAAAGCCAAAAATTGCAGGAAATTCACAAATGCATTTAAATAATTTATTTATAAAATTTATTTTTCCATAAACACAACAAATCCTTTGCTGGAGTTTTGAGAAAATATTTAAATAGTTTCTTAGCAGTTGGCAATCATCTGTGCCATTTAACTTAGTGAATGCACATAACATGTCAAGTGTGTAGCTATCACTTATTTGTATTGAAATGGAATTAAAAATACCTAGTTCTGGGCTGGTTTCCACTGTGCTAGGTGCAAAATGTGCAGAGAGGGCTTTCCTGCCCAAAGGGGCTTGATAATTCCAATGTGAAATGAGAACAGCAGATGGAAAGAGGGAGTTAAAACAAATTACAAGATCAGCTTGGTCAGCACTGTGGCAGAATTTGTGGCTTGCCAGCATCCTCCTTAATGCTGGGTTCCCATTGAAGAAAACTGAGGTTTAAAAAACAAAATGTGAGTTGGGATTCCATTAAAACTTCTTGCTTTCAACTGAGCACCCTTCAGAGCAGATGAAATGGATCTGTGGTAAGTGGCCTGAGCCAGCAAAGATCCCTTGCTGCTCTGCTGAATGAGTTTATGTGCCCAAGCCCCTGGTGAAGACAAGTTACTATTTTTCAGCTGCATATTTTGTAACTATTTGTGTCTTGGCTGGGAAGTCAGTGGTGCTGGGACAGACCTCAGTGAGAGACTGTTGACTCCAGGGTTCACTTGCAGGCACAGTTTAGGAGCTGTGAGATCAAAATTATTGATTGCAGCTCCATTTAGGAATATTCCCAGCCAGTGGTGAGCACCACTGCATGAAAATGACTCCCACATCAAACTGAGCAAACTGTGTGGTAAGAATCCACACTGTTTCAGTGTTACCTTTTCCTACTAGTTTTCCCCTTAATGCAAAGTGTGGGTACCTATTTTAAGTGAAATTATTGAAAGAGTACAAACATTAGACTCTGGAAAAATAGCCAGTTTTGTCTACAGCTGATACTCTGCTCCTTTGTCTTGAATTTCTTCCTGAAAACAGAGTTTATTTGAACAAGCTAAAATAGGGTTAATTAGTTTTCTCTGATAATGCTCACTAGCTCAGTACTAGAACTCTGCAGAGGATGAAGCAGATACAGATACTATTGTCTCTACTTGTTTATAAGCAGGATTTTCCAGTTCTGTTCCTTGTGTATGGGAACAGTAATGACTTGGAGCATTTTTGTGTCACTGTTTGGAAGTGACACTCCTTTTCTAAGCCCCACGCTGAGGAGACAAAAGCAGAAATTTCTCAGGGTGTAGGGTGGGAGGAAGCACCACCTGGGGTCTGTGAACCAACTCTGGCTGTGCTGCACTGAAAAGTGGGAAGGTAGAAGCAGGTCAGGGGCTCTCCTGAAAGGAGGGGGATTCAAGCTGATGGTCAGCTCTGCTGTAAAAGTGATGCTTTTAAAAACAGCCTGATTCAAGAGTTGCCTCCACTCAGTGCCATGGTTCCTCTCTGCATCACTAAAGATGAGGCCTAATGGTGTGAAATTTCCCTATAAAGTCCCTCTGATGGACTCCGTGGGCATGAGGATGAAACTGATTCTTAAGATGAACTTTTTATCCTATTTACATTTTTGAATCCTGGATTTCACAGGGTTAGGGAGGAAATGGGGAAACTGCCAGCACCTGTGACATAACCCTCTCTATTTCCCTGTGAAACAGGTTTAAATGGGATGAACAGCAGCATATGGGAACACTTTGCTTCGGGGAGTTTTTCGCCCAGTACCTCACCTGCATTTCTGTCAGGTCCAGGTGCTGCGGAGATGGCACGGCTACGACAGGAACTGGATGAAGCCAACGGCACAATAAAGCAGTGGGAAGAGTCTTGGAAACAAGCCAAGCAGGTACTTGGGCAAATCCTGGGATTAGGGAGTGTGAAGGAGCATTGGGTGTCAGCCTTCCAACAGCTCGCTCTGGACATGGAGGTGATGGACAGCTGTAGGTTTTACAGGTTCTCAGCATTCTTTCCTCTCTCTTGGAAATCACCAAATCTCTGGGCCTGGTGCGTTCAGATGCTGGAAGTGCAAGGCCAGATGTCACAACAGATGCCCTGGAGTGTTTGACAGTCTCTCAGAGCTTTGATCCATGAGAATTTGTCAGTATGCAAAGTTCATCCCCTGAACACTGTGAGCCACATGAATAGAACCACAGCCCAAGCAGATGGGATATGTGGAATGAGCAGTGCCTTGAAGTAAGGCTCCAAATGTATTTCAGAATTTGGGAACAGGGCAGGTTGGTGTGAGGAGTGTATGGAAATGGAGAGTTTTGCCTGGGTTTCTCTTTGGAGACAGACCAAGTTTCAGACCTCTTCTTTTACCCTCTTTGTTGGAACTTGCAGGCTTGTGATGCTTGGAAAAAGGAGGCAGAGGAAGCAAATGATCGCGCCAACACAGCTAACATGGAATGTGAACTGGCCCGGGAGCAGAGGGAGGCCTTGGAGCTACAAGTGAAGAAACTGCAGGAGGAGCTGGAGAGGATCCACACCGGGCAGGACCCGCAGTTCCTGCGCTCCTTCTCTGACCTGGAGACGCTCTCGCTCTCATCGCTCTACACCCTGCAGAAACAGCTGCGGGCAAACCTGGAGAAAGTGGACAAGGTGAGTGCCAGGGCCTGGCAGGGCAGGGCTCTGCCCTCTCTGCTCCTACAGGTCACAGCTTTTCCCCTTTTCTTTAATAAACCCAGAAATCAGAAGCCTAACATAGATGTAATCAAAGTGAGCTCTAGCTGGCTTCTCTGGAGGAAGGTAACTCCATCTTCTTTTTGCCTGAAGTACAGAGTCTAAATCAATCAAAGCCGCTCTGTTGATCCTAAAGATCCTGAAAGGCATCACGCTGTGCTTTACTTCTGTTCAGGAGATGAGCAGCGTAGACAGCTGCAAGTCCTCCCCGCCCTTCCCCGAGCCGCTGAGCCCTTTGTGTGCGTGTGACGCTGACGCTGTCCCTGTCCCCCTCTCTTGCAGGCAGTATTTCAGATGCAGTCAATGAAATGCCTTAAGTGTCAGAAGGAGAACCGGGTGGTGCTGCCGTGCCAACACGCGGTGCTGTGCGAGACGTGCTCTGAGGAGGGCGAGTGCCCCATCTGCCACCCCAACAGGCCCCACTCCCTGCAGTCGTGACCTCCCGAGGACACTCGTGCTGATCATATCCTAGAGAACTTTTTAACTTTATACATACGTACATATATATGTATGTGTATATATATATATGTATATATGTGTGTGGATGGGCGTGGCTGTGCACGTGTAGGGACGTGCACACACACGCCCATCCACACATGAAAACAGAAATTAGTTGCAGAGCACTTTTTAATATTTTACGTCCCGTATCTAAACTGCCCCTCACCCGTGCCCCACTAATTCTAACTCTTGATGAACTTTGAGAGCTGTTTTTAATACAGATCAAAGGGCCATTTGCAAAGAGTCTGTGTTTCTCCTCTTTTCTATTTAGGTGATAACAAATTTTTGACTATTTCCAGAAGGACTTAGAGTGGGCAAGAGGGGCTTCCACGTGCTTTCCAGAGGAAGAGTTGAGATCACGGGGAGGATCGAGGTGGATTGAAATGATTTGCTCATGCCTTCGGTCCCCCTGCTCTTTCACTGACCCAGCTTGGTTAAAGCCGTCCTCCCTGATGGGAGCTCTGCCAGGCTCCTGCCTGGAGGGCCTCACACTGCCCATCTCTGAATGTGCAGGAACTTTGGCTGTCATTTAATCAGCAAAGTTCACTTTTTAAATTTTTTTACACTCTTTGTATATTTGTATGAAAAGAAGAAAAGAGGGAAAAAAAAATTTATATCGGATCTAGAGCAAGCCAAGCCCCAAAATTCAGTGGCCAATGTTCACTGCTGATGCAGCCAACATGTTCCAGGTCTGAGCAGCCTTAGAAGTATTGCCCTTGGGTGAGCCAAAGCCCTTTATGAAGGAAATTCGGATGCAAAGGTTAGTTCTCTCCAGGCACTCCTTTGTTTGGTGGCTGTCTAGAGACTTTTTACTGTTTCAGACCAGATTACTTTTGTTTTAGCCACAGGGACCTGATTCGTAGTCACTGCTGAAGTGCATGAACCAATTCCAGGTAGGCTGAGGACACTTTTGTTGCCTGTGTCAGCAGCTCAGGGGTGGTTTGTGGATTGCTGGCTCCAGAAACCCTTGTGCTGGAGATGTGTGGTGACAGAAATAATCCAGCAGCACAGAGAAATGCCACCAGCTCAGACCTGCCCAGCAGCTGAGTTTTCCTGTGACTTTCCTTACCAGCATGTCCATTGGATTTTTACATCAGGTGGATTGCAGTAACCTGCTGGGATCTCAACCAGAAGGCCACTCAGTTGACTAAATATTTTTATTTTGCACAGGGACACTCCTGTGCTGCCCCTCTGTGACCTGGAAAAGCACTGGAACCTCCAGCAGCCCACTATTGTAGGAAAACTGAATTTTTACCAGAGCCTCTCAGAAAGCTTCATATTTAATGCAAACACATAATTAGGTTTGTTTCCATAATTCCACCTTTCCTCTCCATGGAAGGGGTTAATATGCATTCCCAGATGATCTCTTAAGTGCAGCTCTGTGTAGTTCTTTTTTATGTTTTCCCATTAACTTGTTTTTGGGTTTTTTGGTAAAAATGCTTTTTTTCCATGTGTATTTTATTGTAACTAGCATCAGGTTTTTTAATTTTTTTAATGGAGAGACACTGTTGAGTGACTATTGTGGCTATGTTGTTTGGTTATAGCCTTTGAATGTCTGTGCCATGGGGCAGCACATCTGCCTTGGTCTGATCTTAAGGAAAGACCTTTTATTAAAATACGTGAACATTTCTCTTTTTTTAGGAAAAATAAAAAATAAAAAAAAATTAAAAGTGGGGGGGGAGGAGGAGGAAAAAGCCCAATTAAGAAAAAAAAATTTACTAAAAAGTTTTTTTTTTTTTTGTAACTAACTTAAATCATAGGAAATAAACTCTTGAATCAGATCTTTAATATTTATAAGCAGCAGAGCTGATCAGCCCGTTTTTGGCTATGGTTTGTAACACTTTTTATGAGCGTGGGGGTTTCTCTGCTCCTCTGCCTCCCCAGGGGCTGCTCAGGGGTGATGCTGCCTTTTGCCAACCCTCTTTTTCCAGATGTGTCCAGCAGCAGCTCTGTGATTCCAGCAGGGAATCCCAGCACATGGAACTGGTCCCTGAGGGCAGCCTGGGCTGTCCCTGTGGGACTTCAGCCATGGGGTGATGCAGGACTTGGGGGTGTGAAGGGGAAAGAGCTGCTTGCCCCCACTTCCCCTGGGGTACAAGGAAAAATTCCAGGCCAGAGAAAATGTGTTTTTCCCTTTTGAGTAAAACAGTTTCTCTGTTTTAAAACTTATACCGAAGGACCAAAGAATTCAGAATTTCGCCTGTTTGTGGCCCTTAAATTTTAACTTTCCATTGCCACACTGCACTCATGGCAGAGCAGCCTGAAGGAATTAGCACTAGACCCTTCCCTTGCCCCCACCCCAGCCTCTCTCAGCACTCTCTTTGCACAAGCACATAGACTTTCTCACTTTCCTCTGGTTCTTGAAGAAACACTTCCTAAATTTAGGTTTCTATCAATTTGTTTGCTGCTTTAAAAAAAAAGGAGAGGAATATTGAAATGTGAATTTATTTTCTTAAGCATCAGATGGAAAAGAGAGCTTCATCTTTGCATATTTTGTGAATGTTCTGGTGGGCCATTTAGTGACAATTTCTGAACCAAATGAGGTGGGAGCAGGGGGAAGGATCAGCATTCCTGACCCACTCCAGCACTTGCTGCTGCCTGCTCCGTGCAGGAAGGACAAACCATAATCACAGCACTGCAGTTGAGGCTTAAGAGTCTGTGATCAGCTTTTGTATGGTGTAAAAAGAGCTGAAATAAACCTGGTGCTAATAAGTGCAGCCCCTGTCACGTACTGTCAGGCTTCCTTCTGAAGCAGGAACTCCCTTTACAGGACACACAGTAACACAGCAGAGCTGAGGGGGCTTCAAAACAAAAGTGGGGTCCACAGGGTTCCTTGGGGAGCAGCCCCAGCTGAGCACCCCAACCACGCCTGGGTCCTGCCCCCTCACACAGACTCCTTAGTGGATAATGACATTTTCCTCCCCAGATTTTTGGGAGCTTCAGAAGAGCTGACCTTGGTGACGAATTGGGCAGGTCAGACACTTCTGAGTTGAGAGCTGGGGGAAGGGAGTTGTGGTTGTGTTGTGAAACCACAGCATCCAAAAGGTCAATAAACTTTACATTATTACAGAAAACCAACCTAGAAGCAGGTGGGACAACACGAGCCTGGGTAGATCCAGAGCAACAAGCAGGGTCAGAGCTGTAGGTGAGAGCTGGGAACTAAAGGATTTGAGCATTTTGGGCTAACAGGACCACTTTGAGCTCTTCTCCAGCCTTAGGTGCTGTAGCCGTGTGCCTGTGGGGCACAGGAGGGACCCAGGAAAGGTCTCGGAGCTGGAGCACATTTCCTAAAGCAGATCCCACCCCTGGGGGTCCCTGCAGCTGATCCCCTGCTGAAGGGTTTTACACTTTTGTACATCTCTGAAGCTGAACCTGAGCCACTGGCAAGGCTTGTACAGCTGAGACAATGAAGAGAATTCCTTACCCTGAATGGACTCAGTCATCCCTTGCTGTTCCACCAGCCTCCAAACCTCCTCTCTTCCTCCTTTTTCCCTATCTGAGAAGGAAGAATATTACCAGTGTTTTCCTCCAGAGTTATTATAATCCTTGGAGTGATGGCCAACAGCAAAATAGATGTTACTGATGTAAAACCTAGTATTTTAAAGGTGAAGTATTCCTGCAAAGTAGTGACTGCATTGGAGAGATTTCTGGGGCTTCCCCACTCCGTAGCTTCCAATGTTAAAACAAAATAAATACAGTATACGTTTAAAAAAAATAATAATAATACACACTGCAGTATTTCTGGTGGCAATTCTTGCCCAGTCCCTTCCCTGCTTTCCCCAGGAGGAAGGGCACTGGGCAGAGGCGCCCCTAGTCCGTGTAGAAGTTGGCAGAATGGTGATCAGTGGTGTAAAACGTGTTGTTGATTCCATGTATAGAACTGTGATTTCAGCTGTCGTTCTCTCGTACTCTGTAAATATGTGTTTTGGCTGTCGGAAACCTGGTTTAGACTCTTTTCTTGGCAGAGTGAATTTGCATGTGGGGCTGGAAAGAACTCAATCTGTGTCACAGTTTCCAAGGGCAGGATGGATTTTTTTTTTTTTTTTTTTTAGAGGACAATAAATTTTTATTTTTTTGCTAAGAAAAAAAATACGAACTGAAGCGGTGTGTGTGTGTGTGTGTGCGTGCCCAGGTGGATGTGCAGCCCCAGCCTCTGCTCTGGGCCTTGGGAGGGTGGAGAAATCTTGGCTTTGGAGCCCTCAAAACAACAGATCTGTGGTCAATTTTCACACAACCAAGAATAATTTCTGAGCTCCCCTCCCTTTTCGGGGTGTTGCAATTTACTTTCCTGATGGAGGTGTGGTGAAAGAGGGGGAACATCAAGGCAATGTGGTTAAGGTGGGGCAGAAACCCCTTTGGAAGTGGCAAATCCAAAAATTTCTCACCTAAATTCTTTGTCTGGACATGGATTAATGTCCTGGGAGAGCCAGGCTGGGCAGAGGTGAGCTGTGCCTGCACGGTGGATACAAACAGTGTTTGTGTGTTGGCACCCAAAAGAACACACCTGGCCTGTGGATCCAATAATTACCTGTTAATTTTGGTCTAATTAATGATTCAAAGATGCATCAACCACTTCCCATTAGTCCAATCACAAAAATAATCTGAATGGGCCCATTTGTATTGCAGATTATTGGTAACACAATAAAATCAGTAGATCTGAGTGCCAGCCCCTTCCCTCTTGTGTTCTGGCCATCTGCCTGTGTCGGGTTCTTCACCAGGATTAGGAGGATGATGATGGAGATATCTTCCTCTTCGTCATTCTTGCATTGCTAGGAGCTGTGTGCTTCAAGCCTTATTTTTTAATGCTTGGGCTGTTCTCCTGCTCCATGGGGTTAGTTGTGCTCTGACTGATTAAGGTTTATTAATTTCTCTGTAAAAGGTGGGATTTCTTTTAGGGTGGGAGAAGAATCACACAACTGCCTGAAGCCGAGCAAAAATTAAGCTTTAACACGTTGAATAATCCAGAGCAAACAACCTCAAAAGAGAGGTCAGCCCGTGCCACCTGCTCCCTGGGACATGCCTGGCTGGTGGCAGCCCAAGGCAAGGTGGGACAGAATGATTTTTAAAAAACAGCTAAAAATGAGCTGAGACCATATCCAAACCTCCAGCCTCGTGTAACAAAGCTCATAATGAAGCATGAGGTGGCTGCCAGCTGGCTCCAGCTCCAGATGAGCTGTGGGCTGCAGGCACAGGGTGCTGGACCCGGCTGAAAGGACACCCTGGGACAGCATCCCCACAATCCCAGCCCCAGCTCTGCAATATTATTTCTCTGCACTGAAGCCTAAGCCAGCAAATGGCTTCCTTGAGAGCCCTCAGTGCCTTAATCCCTCCTGCTGTGGGCTCTGTCACACAGATACCAAAGGAGCTTTTTTCTTTTCCCACCCCCGCATCCAGGATTTGACCTGAGCTGACCCAGCGGCTGCTCTGCCCGCCGAGGGAGCAGCTGCTGCTCAGCACCCGGGAGGAAGATGCTTTAATTCCCCGGTCCCTGGCAGCTCCCAGGGACCTGCTGCAGCTCAAACACGGCCAGCCCCGTGCAGGGTGGAGGTAGAGGGAGCTCCAGGTGTATAATTAGTACTTATAATTGCAAATGGGAGTGAAAACAAGCTCAAAAAAAACCCCCAACGAATTGTTATAACCACCTGCCTTGTCAGGCATTTTTGCTGTCATACTGGGTCACCCCACGTGGATGCACCCTGCAGAGCTTCCCACCACTTCCAGAGGGACACAGATCCCTGGCACAGGCTGGGAGTGATGCCAGGGACCTGCACCCCATACCTGGGCTGTCACCTGCCCAAAATGCCTCCTGGTTTGGCTTCCAGGGCTGTGATACTCTTTCAGCAAGATCCCAGGTTTCCAGGAGGTCAGCAAAATTGGTAAAATTAAAAAAAAAAAAAAACAAAAAAAACCAAAAAAACCACAAAACAACAAAAAACCAAACAGACACAAGAGCTATGCACATTTTTAAAAAGGAAAAATTCAGCAGCTCCCACCAGACCTCAAATGCCTTGTCCCACCCCACTGTGCTGCTGCTCCCAGCACAGGGCCACTGCCCCAAAGCACACAGCCCACGCATCAGCCTTGTGGCTTTTCATTTAAAATAAGAGGCTTATCCACAAGAAAATGAGGGGGAAAAGAAACTTAAAATTAAAAAAAAAAAAAAGAAGAAGAAGAAGGCAGGTTTGACCACGGTTGTCCCCAGCCTGAATCAGTCATGTTGCAGGCAGGAGGGTTGGGTACATGGGCAGGAGATGTGGCACTGGCATCCCAGGGGAATGGACAGGGACAGCCACATTTTCACACCCCTCGTGTAGTGTTACTAGTCCAGGCAGGCAGAGAAATCCCCTCCAATGCACCTGGCCACCCTTCCTGGCTCAGGGGAGCGTTGCTGCCCGAAGACGGGGGTGAGCTGATGCTGGGAGCTGTGCTGGGGCAGG